TTGGAAGAAAGAAGAAGTTGTGTCATTTCTTGAATCACCTATAACCATTGGGGGAGGTCTTCGCTCGATCAAAATTAATTCAGCAGTAACTTGATTTTGTATATAACAATGGAAGTTTTGGAAACCAAGTGAATGAAATTCGAAGTTGGAACTTGCTCTCGGCGGGCCAGCCTCTTTCGTTCCCTATTCTGTCTCTCTAGCGGGGGAGCTGCCCACTCCTTTCCTCTTCATTGTCACCTTCTTCGAGAATTGGGCGACCTTCTCCAATTGCTGCTTATCCTCCGCCTCGTCTGAAGCAGCCCACATCTCTTTAGTCATCAGGCTATATTCACTCGGATACAACACCCGATTCATAGTCAAGGGGTAGGTATATTGCACAACCGATAGTTGCCGATCGAGAATGATGTGTTTTATTGCTTTCAGTTGTGGAGGAACCGTCTTGCTCTTCTTGTATGGGCCACTGGTTGCACTTGTTGGGATCCCCCAATCATCACATATGCCCCTAAAATATCGGAGTTTCCAGTTCTTTATTTTGTTCTCCAAGTCGATTAGATGAAACTTTCAGGTAGTACCAAAAACCACATACCCGTTTGTGTTGGCTCAGAGAGAGAACCTATACAAAAATAGTTCGCGAGACCATGGGACACCCATTCGACGCAAGTAGATCATATATGTCATTATCTCGGCGATGGAATTCAGCTTCACTTGGGCTGGAATCACCCAATAGTAGTTGAAAATCAAACGGAGCTCTTTGCTCAAAATCAGCCGAAGCCCACAACGGAATTGGTCTCGATAAAAGATGAGATCATCGCCTAGGTAGTCAGTAGCCCAGACATCTCCATCCATTTGCTCCAAGAAGACACTTGTGCTCTACAAGTCTCGTCTAACTGCTTGACATCGAATTTGGTGAGTATTGATCTCTTACTCAGTTTAACTGAACCAAATCTCTGTGGAGAGTACTTGGGAGTCATCTAACTCTAAAGATAAGCCGATCCAAGGGCGATAAAAGAGAAAAATGCAATAGTTTTATTTAGCATCCATTTAAACATGTATATGGGCCTCATGAGGAAGCCAAAATGCTACATCAGGTTCTGCCAAGATGTCACTTTGGCACACAAAGCAAGAAAAAAAATAATCACTAAATTATGGAAAAATGAAATTTTATTTATAAAAAAATATTTTACAGTAGGGTCGTCAGCCACTTCGAGCAGCACTAAACCCCGGTTCATCGACTCATATACACACACGCCCACCAAACTTGTACTTTTCTATTTTTTTCCTCCTCAGTGCGGAAATGGGAGATCGAGCTGGTGGCACGAAATTCAGCCTGTTCACCCCGTAGGTTCGCCACTTTGGCTCGGAGGGCCTCCATGTCCCCACCCCGGGCTCAGAGGGCCTCCACATCCTCAACGTGGGCCCAAATAGCCTCCATATCAGCCTACATGGCCGCCAGTTCCTCCCGCAAGTCCGATATGGTGGCCTCCTGCTGACATACGCAGCTCGAGCGAAGGAATCCACAGTCTCGTTCATACACCGGGCTAGGGACTCATGAGACTCCATGAGGCCATCAATCTCCGTCATTGGGTTGGCCAATGGAGGTGGTAGGAATGAAAGAGGCGGCGGGGTGGATACCCCCTCAACTGCAGCAAGAGTAGAAGGATCAATCGACGCCTCTGGCTCAGGTTGATGTTTAATTTCTATGGGCCAAATAATTTCCACGGTTTCCTTTGCAGTGTTAGAGTCGATGTTATAAGAATAAATTAAAGGTCGGAATAAAATAAAATCTAGGTTACTAATCATGCACTCTATCTCTGACGTACAGAAACTTTTTTGCAACGATGGGAGGGGCATCGCCCTGCAGACCCCCTTCGACCAAAGGTTGAGGGGGGAATACCTTCCATTGGCAGGGCTACATCTCAGACAACTTCATCTGCCAAAATTTGGATCAGATTATCTGTCGGGGGAGCGACCTCCCCAGTTGGAGGTTGAAGTAAAACAAGTTCTGGCAGCTGAACTTTTGCAGCCATTGCCATTTGCCCCCCTTTCTGTGACGACAGTTGGGCCGGATGCTGACGCCGGATGCTGACCGAGCGGTTCAACGGCTAAAACATACGCATCTGGAATACATCCTCCTTTCCGACTTCGTACCTCTAGAAGTGGTAGCTAATCAGACGATTCACCAACCTCTTCCACCTGCAACTTCTTTGTGGTAAGTTGTTTGCCTGAATTTGGACCCGTCTGGTCTGGTCCCTTCGTTCGGCCTTTTGGTGTTAATAACTTTTATCTCATCTCTGTCTTTTCTCGATCAGCTGGACTTCTTCACTCGCTCTAATGACACCGGACATATTGGTTCGTAGATATAAACGACCGAAAGACAAAATTCGGGAATAGTGAGAAAAAAGGTACATTGCTTCCTATTTATAGGAGCAAGCGACATTAAAATTCAAGGAGTACAATTATTGATATTTATTAATAATTATGTGAACAATCATGTTATTTAAATATCTTATTTTTATGACAGTCGTCACTTTCAAAGATGTAAGAGAATCAATGAACTAATTATATGCATCGTTAATGTCTCCATAAATCTCGAGAAGATTCGATGGATCGCACGAAGTGAGTTGATGTACAAACACTCGACATTATACTAGTCAATCTCTAAAGACGACCAAACAAAAGACTGACCGACTCAAAGAACACCGCTCGCCGCACTGAAGCCTATGAACCAACATCTTCCATTGAAAAAATTAACAACTGACCTGAGGGAATTCCTTTTTTATTGACTCATCGACCGAAGCTAGGTTGTCTGTCAGATTACGGTAATGAACCTCTGCCTGATGGAACACTCCTTCCCAAGGGCAATGAGACCCAACAAGGGTCCTCTCGAGAAAGGTGGCAAAGATCGTTCATCTGATCGAATGACTTATGACCGATCGAATGAATACCAAGTGATCAAGCCAGACATTTACAAATACGAAGCGGTGCTAAAGGCAGTTACAGATATTGAACGATGCGAATAACCGTTACAAGGTTAAAATATATCCTTTTGAGTTACAAATATGTAAAAGTGTAATGACTCATAAATTATTGTAGCGTCCACATTAAATGAGGGACAATCATGTAATTTGCCCTTCCTATAACTTATAAATAGGAAGATCGTTTTCACAGAGGAACACTACACAATTCCCCAAAATTAGGTGTTATTTATGTGTCTTTTCACTCTCTCTTTACTTTCATTTGATCAAACGCTATATTCCTTGGGTGTGATCTATAAGACAATTTAAGATCCAACAATGAGAGTTTCAATCATTGATTTAATTAAATTGATTTTATTATATTGAATTTTTAATTAGTTTTTAAAATATTAATTAATTAATAATTGGATAATTAATTATTAATTATAATATCAACTTATGTTAATTATGAAAAATTCAAATAAGTCTTAATCGAGAATTGTAATAAGCATCTTAATGAGTTCATTAACAACCTTTACATGGTATTGTTTATGTTCATAAATGATTTGGACATTAAGCTATTCAAGGCCTTTCATTCGACATAAATGTATTTATAGAAGTGTTCAAGTTTGATCGATTACTTAATTAAATGATCATAAATGATCTCTACCAGAGTCGAGCTACTGTCAGCTTGCCAAGTGTATTGGTTAATTTGCAGCTTTAAGTCTGCACAATCTTAAACTTGTGTATGGCGGTTAAAAGAGAGTCTCCCAAGTTTAAATTTCAACTTGTACTAATGAAGTCAGTGCAATTTGTGACGTGCCTGCCATACCTTCACTCGTTTAGAACCAATGCTCCATCTTCTTCGTTAGCATCAAACTCAATAACTTTTCATCAGTGTAGGAACCAATGAAAGATTTTTCACCTGGAACTCAATGATTCTTCTCCAAGTTTATCGCATATCATTCATTGCGGAGCTATAGCTGCCCCTTGATGTTGACCGTCTCTATGCAGCTTTCGATGCTTATTAAGATGGTATCTTTTGCTTATTAGTGGATAGAACATAATCTTGATCGTCTTTGTTTTGCTTCTAAATCACGGCAACCATTTAACGCTTGTTGGACATTACAATGGTTCTTCAAACTTTGATGCCCACTTAACACAGAACAGAATCGGCATAATTAGGTAATAAGTTCAAAATGTTTACTGGGGTCAATTAACAGAAGAGAAACCTCAATGTAACTGATTCAGTTTTCAGCAATGACCCACTGCTCTACTTTCATGGCAATGACTAAAAACTAACCATTTTGCTACACGAGAAGCAGTTTTTTTATCTAGAGAATAAAAAGGACAAACAGGCTAAAAGTGTAGTAACCGTGAAAGTAAAAAGGGGATCATATTGGTAGGAATCAGAGTACATGTTTTTCTTATTTTTTTTTGGGAAATTTACTACATACCACACAATTCTTATGTATTTACATATTTAACACCCAAAGTTTGATATTTACATTTGTTACACTTTGACATCATAAATCTATGCATGAAAAGGTGTATTTTACTTTTAAAAAGTAATAATAGTGGTAATTTTGATGTGATGTTAAAAATTTGCGTGGTATGAAATATGAATGCTTAGGTGTTATATATGCAAATACATAAGAATTATGTGATATGCATATCGATGCCCATTTTTCCTCTGACAAGACGAGTGCTCGAACCTAACAATTTAGGATTCTTTATTTATTTCCAACCAATATGATATGCATATTAGTGTGCACATCATAGTTTGTCATTCGGAGATAAGACGGTACAACAATCCGTAGCAATTGTTAAATGGCATCAAAATCTTTTATATTTATCCTAGAATCTCTTCACAAGGAAAACCTCAAACTTCCTCTTTTATGTCAACTTTGCAAAAATAAAAAATAAAAAAAAATCTGAATTTAAAATAAAAGAACTAAGCATTAGAATATAAGGGGTGAAGTGGTTGCTAGAAATGTTATACTTCTGTGCTGCTGCCAATGTTAATTTTTAAATTGTTTCCTTCAGAGAAAATGCTTATGCCCAAGTGTGTGCACCATACCATACATGGCCAGTACGGTAGGCAGTTGCTGCTGGAATGTGTACTCTTCCAACGTGGGAGCAGCTATTGTTGAAGTTACATGACAAGTGTTAGTCTCTCTCTCTCTCTCTCTCTCTCTCTCTCTCTCTCATGTTTTTTTAGCGTTGCTAGCTTGAGACTTTATATTTCCTTGATGCCATTTTATTAGAGATGAAAGAGCTTATTTCCTGTAAGAAAAAACGGGGGCGAGTGCTATTCATCTGCGCTAAAATCTTTATTCTCATGGCATGATATTTATACTACCGGCTGTCATGTTTTTAAGTGAACAAAAGCACATTTTTCTCACACAAAAGCACTTTTTTCTCACACAAAAGCACTTTTTTCCTTAGATATGAGTCGACTTCAATTCATTTATATACTTTCATATGTTAAGTCAAATAAATTTTAAGCTGACCTGAAATGAATTGACTCGATTTCTGGCTTTTTAAAACGAGAGTGATTATTGAGCAAGTTTTGAGCATAATTGCGAGCCCTACTGAGAATGGTTGTTGCTTTTTGTAATGGTGGTTATAAAATTGTTGCGGGGAAAGTAACTTTCTAGAAACTTAATGTGAGAATCATATATATATATATATATATATGGCGACCTT